AACAGAAAACCATAAGAAGTCCCGTTTGCAGTTTGCCACAAGCCATGTGGGGGACACAGCAAACATGTGGAAGAAGCTGCTCTGGTCAGATGAGACCAAAATGCAAAACGCTGTGTGTGGCGGAAACTAACACTGCACATGACTCTGAACACACCATCCCCACTGTCAGATATGGTGGTGGCAGCATCATGCTCTGGGGGGGCTTCTCTTCAGCCGGGACAGGGAAGCTGGTCAGAGTTGATGGGAAGATGGATGGAGCCAAATACAGGGCAACCTTGGAAGAAAACCTCTTGGAGTCTGCAAAAGACTAGAGACTGGGGCGGAGGTTCACCTTCCAGCAGGACAACGACCCTAAACACAAAGCCAGGGCAGCAATGGAAAGGTTTAAAACAAAACATATCCATGTGTTAGAACGGCCCAGTCAAAGTCCAGATCTGAATCCAATCCAGAATCTGTGGCAAGATCTGAAAACTGCTGTTCACAAACGCTGCCCATCTAATCTGACTGAGCTGGAGCTGTTTTGCAAAGAAGAATGGGCAAAGATTTCAGTCTGTAGATGTGCAAAGCTGGTAGAGACAGACCCTAAAAGACTGGCAGCTGGAATTGACTCAGGGGGCTGAATAATTACGCACACCCCACTTTGCAGTTATTTACTTGTAAAAAATGTTTGGAATCATGTCTGATTTTCGTTCCACTTCTCACGTGTACACCACTTTGTGTTGGTCTTTCACCTGGAATTCCTTTTGTTTTTTGGTTTTTTTGGTTTTTTTGTGTCCCGTCTGGCACTGTAGCAATCAGAATTATTGTCTGAAGGCCAAGAAAAATGCCCAACAGATTTACTTTCCCAAGTGGGCCTTTTGCTATACTGGTCCACTTTATTGTCATAGTTTATTTGATCTTTATTAGTTATTTTTATTCTAAGTTATTGTAATCAGGCCAGACTGGAGTCGGGGACGGGAAAGAAAAACAAGAAGAAAAGCTCAGAAGAAAGTTAACAGAAGGAGAGGGAAAGAAAAAGGAGAAAAGAGAGAGAGAAAAGACAATGAAAAAAAAAGCTTTATTGCTTTTTTTTTTGCTTTTTCCCCCTCTCTTTTCCTGGATCATCTGTTGAGAAAAAAGAAAACAAGCAGAAGAAGACTAGAGCAATAGAATAAACAACATCATGGGAATATAACAGTAAATACTAAATGTTAAACATTATTGTGCAGCACGTAAGATCGACAGCGCACAGTGTGCTTTAAGGTAGGAGCCAAAAAGGGTGTAGTTTGTGTGTGTGAGCACCCGTGTGTACATGGGCGATCGTGGCTCAAGAGTTGGGAGTTTGCCTTGTAATCGGAAGGTTGCCGGTTCGAGCCCCGGCTTGGACAGTCTCGGTCGTTGTGTCCTTGGGCAAGAACCCGTTGCCTACTGGTGGTGGTCAGAGGGCCCGGTGGCGCCAGTGTCCGGCAGCCTCGCCTCTGTCAGTGCGCCCCAGGGTGGCTGTGGCTACAATGTAGCTTGCCATCACCAGTGTGTGAATGTGTGGATGACTGGATATGTAAAGCGCTTTGGGCTCCTTAGGGACTAGTAAAGCGCTATATAAATACAGGCCATTTACCTGTGAGCATGAATGTTTTTAAAAGGTTCCTACATGTAATGATCTGCTAGAGGGTGTGGGGAGCCACAGCCCTGTCCACCAGGTTTCACGTGGAATTCAAATAAAAGTTATTCATGTTTGTGGCTTTAATGTGACAAAATGTGGAAAAGTTCAAGGGGGCCGAATACTTTTGCAAGCCACTATATGTGACATGAAGGCTACAAGAAAGGTTGATGTCAAAGTGACGATATATCTGGTGCTCGATCTGTGGCTTTTCATCAGACTTGGAGACCACGGTGTTGTTGTTTTTTTGTAGCCAGTTCCTTGGTGGTTTTAATTTTCTTAAATGAGAGGCTCACATGACTCATCGAGTAATACCACTGACCAGCCAATCGGTGGCATGCAGTCTGACGATGTCCCATTTTATTACCTACTCAGATCGTGTGGAACCCTGGCCGAGCAGATACTACCACAGTACCTTTTACCAGGTACTAAAACCTAATGGAAAACCCCTAAAACTGTGGCAAACAATGCCGAGTCGATCTGAGTAGGCATTAATAGAGTAGACGATGGCACGGCCACATCCAGACATCCAGACACCTTCCTGACCGCTCTGGACTATGCAACTTTTTAGCTTTTTACTTGTTTATTACATTGTTATACATTCCAGGAACTTCTAGTTTTATAGTTTATGACAGCAGATCCCTTCTCAACATCGGTAACAAGTTTGCACATGTAATTTTGGGCACTTTTAAATCCCACCCATCCTGGCCGACCGAGATACTACGCAACGTGGCCAACAACAATGGACAGGACGTTCACCCGAGGCGCAGAACAAAGAAAACGCGCTGGCGTTCGGAACAGACTGAGACAGCAGGTGCACCGTGCACCACTGCTCAGTATCCTGCTGGCTAATGTACAATCGTTGGAGAACAAACTAGATGATCTGAGGGCAAGAGTCACCTTCCAACGTGACATGAGGGACTCTTCAACTATATTTGAAATAACTATTTTAGTAAGAAAATAGTAAAAGTTTTTACTATGGGTGATAATTTCCTTACGGATTATTGAAATATTCTGATTCCTATTTATCTCAGATCATCCAGTCCTTCTGCTTGACCATCTCCATTTTGCATAAAGTGTTAGTACCACTTTCTATTAATTGATTAATTGATTAAAACAAGCATCAGGAAGTCTGTAATGTACTGGAAACACATATTCAAAATGTTAATAATTATATTTAAATGTACAACACATATGAATACATTAGATTGGCGTAGGCGTGTAGAGCACCATCTTTCACATCATACTTTAGACGTGGATGGCAGCAAATAATATGGTAAATATATTTCAGGTAGGAAAAAAAAAGTGGTGCAATTTTTTAAAAAAGTCCAGTACACAAAAATAAGATGCTATCCATGTTCTCCTGCTTGTTCAATTCAGGGTTGTGGGGGGCGCAACACCATGACCCTGATCCACCTTCATCATTGATTGACCCCTGACCATCAAAAGATCAAGCCTCTCAGTTGAAAACTGGAATATTCAATTTTTGGGCAAATATCTATGTCTTATTTGAAACTATAACTAACCACATCAAGTTCTCTATCCATATTTACAATAATAATGGTCAGGTCACGACAATCTTACTTTTATGCAACCTTAGTTTTTAGAAGTACTCCAAGTATTTTTAGGTAAGCTAACTTTAGCTACTAACCTACTGTTAGAGACACTGTTAGTGGTGTAAGTTGTGGTATGTGGTATAAGTTGATTCCAAATGTATTGTTATAATCCATTGGTTTATGTAAGCATGGCTCTACAAGGCAAGCCAAAATGGAGGCAAACGGTGGCTAAAGTAGAAACCTGGCACCCTACTTCTTCTTTGTCTTTCTCCAGGGATAAAATTGAAAGTGCAGACTCCCAGTAGGCAGTGTTATGGAAATTTTAACAATAACCTGCAACATACCCAGTGAGCGTTTTGAAATGACTTAATAAACATATTGCAATATGGAGAGACCCACTCCAGCCAAACACTAAGGTGATCTCTGAATTGTGGCCACTGCCCTTACATCTTATACACACAGACACAGACACTCTTAAACAAAGAACATTCCACAGCAGATCATATATCCTTATCTCTTCATTCCAGCTCACCCTTGACCCTCTCCTAGTCTAAGAAAGATAAACTGTCACCAACTGTCACCTCCTTTACAACAGGATGTCTGGAGACCCTTAAGTCTTCAATGGGTTCACTGTGAGAAGGCAATAAACCTTGTGGCCCACCTGATAACATTTTACATGCATACAACTGGTGTCAAGAGTGATTATTCTACACTGAGTTGAGAAAGTATTACTACTATTACTAAAGTGATGCGTTTAATACATAAAATAAAGAGATTTCCAGTACAGCAGCAGTCTGCCACCTACTGGCAGCCAGTTCTTTGCACGCTGTTTTTATTTATGCTTATTACACAGAACCTACCACATGTGTTACTAGATAATAATCACACACTTTTTTTTAGTTTGCTTTAACAGCATTTTGCAGCTATATTTCCTGCTTATTACACAGAAACTACCAGAGGTAATTGAGTGGTAATAAGTTAGAAAGTACCACATTATTACGTTCTAGTTTCCTTGTTGTTACCGTACAATTACCACTTTATTACCAAGCTGTATGTCCACATTGTTACCCCCAGTTTTGGGGCTATTATTATCCTATTACATAAAGTTCATAAATAATAGTACTCAACCGTAACCGTTGTTGCTACCATGATATTACGTGGATATTACATGGTTATTACTTTGTTAATTGAATAGTAATAACATAGAAATTACCACATCATTACCCACTTGTTTCCCCCTTGTTACTCTACCATTACCCCTTTGTTACCAACTTTCAGGCCTGTTTTTTCACACCAAATGTAATGCAATGTTTGTACATGAATATCTCATAAACTACATTTTCAGTGGTATTTCTTACTGTCAAAATTAATCACAATCTGTCATTTAGATTTTGAAGTACTTAAAATATGAATATGTCCTATATTTGAACACATAAATAAAAAAAACAACTTAAAATTGTAAAAATCTATGACCCTTTAGCGAGCCTGATTCTGATGGAAGTTTCTTCCTATAAAAAAGGGATTTTTTTCCTTCCCTCTGTTGCCAAAGTGCTTGCTCAAAGGGAGTCATGTGATTGTTGGCATTTCTCTGTATTATTGTAGGGTTCACCTTAAGCCCACTGTTGTTTTGACTTGGCACTATATGAATAAAATGGAATTGAATTGAATTGACCTACTCTACCTTCCTACTATTTTGAGACCTACTGCCCTGGAAGAGTCTGATAATCCAGTGCAAACACATGCTGTTAGTGGGATTTAGCTGGTTCTATATTGCCCATAGGTGTGAATGTGAGTGCAAATGGTTGCCTGTCTCTCTGTGTTAGCTCTACAATCTTTCTAGGGTCTACTCTGCCTTTTGGTTTCCTACTTTCCTACTGCCTCTCCCAAAGCTTGTCCCGCATGCTGTTGTATTTCATATTTGTGATTTGTACATTGAAGCAAAACTTCAAATGGCAGAAATGACAGTGTTGTTTTAATTATTTTTTATCAATCCATTTACATTTATTTATTTAACGAGTGGGGCTGATGATTACAGTGTGTGAATGTGTGTGTGAATGAGTGAATGACTGAATGTAGTGTAAAGGGCTTTGGGGTCCTTAGAGACAAAGTAAAGCGCTATACAAATGCAGGCCCTTTACCAGGTCATTTACCAGTCCTGCAAGGTTACCTGGGGCCCTGGCTTTTATCAGAGGAAGTATGGTAGACATTTGGAGGGCTTTGAGGCAGTTAGTACTGAATAAATCCCCTCACCTATTTTCTCCATCTAAACTTTCAGTCATTGAACTACAGCACTGACATTTAACTAATATTCAAACACTGTTTTCTTTAGTCAAGATAATTTAATTCATTTGCACCGATTATTTTCTAAATTGAAAACATTCTAGCTACAGAGCACACTGCCCAATATATCTCGCGTGCCATGCCATGCCAGTTTTATTGACTTCACCTGTCAGTGGTCATGAGGTTGTGTCTTATTAGTGTACTTGGGAGTTTTTTGTTTAAAAAGAGCAATATGCACAATATGTGTAATATGTTTCCCCAGCTGGACAACCCAGATGAACAGGCAGCACAGATCAGAAGAGAGCTGGATGGACGACTTCAAATGGCAGACCAGATTGCTCGGGTAAGACATTTGGATGGTTGAGGAGATTAATAATAGGGTTAGGGTAATAATAATAGGTCAGGATTGACTCTTATTTTATATTTCAACATATGATATAAATACAGACATTTTTCCTCAGTTAAACTTTTACTTTTATATAACATTTATTAGAAATGAGCAGCACGGTGGTTTGGTGGTTAGCACCATTATGTCGTAGCTGGAAGGTTCAATTCAATTTTATTTATACAGCTCCACATCACAACAACAGTCATCCTAGGGCGCTTTATATTATAAGGTAGAACCCACATTAATAGATGGTAATAGTAATGGTTCAAATCTGCTAGCTGGCTGGGGCCTTTCTCTGTGGAGTTTATATGTTTCAGCGTCCTCTCACAGTCTGAAGTTATGAATGTTAGACTGACTGGCAAAATTGGCAGTAGGTGTGAGCAGAAATGGCTGTCTCCATTTCCATTTTAGTCCTGTAACAGACTGGCAACCTGTCTTGTACCCTTATTCCTGCCCTGTGATAGCTGGAATAGACTTTATCAAAATTTAACAAATTTGCTTTAAAGTTTTTCTTTGGATCAGATAGATAGATACTTTATTGAACACACAAGGGAGATTGTTGGATCATGTTCATTATTTAATTGGCTGCTTTCCCATTTTTGTCAGTATGGGGGGAAGTTCCCTCGGTTTGTCTCTAGAGAAATGGAGGCCATGTACATTGAGGAGCTGCGATCCTCTGTCAACCTTCTGATGGCAAACCTGGAAAGCATGCCAGTGTCCAAAGGAGGAGAGTTCAAGCTGCAGAAGCTAAAACGAGGCCACAACACCTCCATCATGGACATGGGCCAGGAGGATGAGAATGCGCTGTCCAAGTCTGATGTAGTGCTGTCCTTCACCCTGGAGGTAGGTGGAGAGACCTATGAAACCGTTAGTAGAATGATGTCTTGCTGTGTCATTTTACTGGTGCAAATACAGCAGAGTGCACATAATCGAGAACCAGTTGTTGTAGAGAACCGGTTCCCAGTAGTCTAATTCCTTTGAATTGTTAGTCTGCCTGCCTATCTATCCTGGTTATCGGTTATCGGCAATAAAATATGCGTTAGTAAATTCATTTACGAATTTTTCAATTATTTTACTTATTTAAATATTACTATTATTTAACAATTGAATTTAAAATGAAATCACTATTTATAAATCAATTTATATATTTTTATATCAATATTTCAAAACGAATTACTTCAAATGAAAAAATACAATTAAAAAGAGAAAAGAAGTCATTTAATTAAAAACAAATCAAAGATATATTTCTGACATTTAAAATGGCGATTCCATTTCTCATTTTCAAATCCATTTCCTCACTGTATTTCCCATTCCTGGTAGCTCACGGTTTAGCTATTATATTAGTAAATGGATTAGCTTAACTCTAATTAGCTGGATTAGAGCTGCAATGCTAAGAAGTGTGTGTGTGCTTGTATAAAGGCTATTCAGCCTTTTTATTTACACTCCACTCCACTCCAGTCCAACTCTATTGATGGGCAAGCGTCATGATGGTTATCAATCTGCCTAGTTAAGTGTGAGGGCCGAGTATACATATACATATAAAAAAAATTCCCCACTCGCCCCTGCGGGCAGTCTCTTCTTCAAGCTCGGGTCCTCTACCAGACGCTTGGGAGTCTGTATATATATATA